GTCAAAGCAATGAATCTATTTCCATCAATTCACTAATAATTTCTACGATTAATTATATAATATAATAGCGACGAAAAATGACAACAAAATATCCCTCTCTGTCCAAATAACTCTTACGATTCCCCCTTCTTGAATTAATCCTATCTCTTCCTAAATAAAAAAAAAAAAAGAGAGAGAGAGAGAAATCTTTTCAACAACACGTGAAACACGTGTATATTCCTTATTCATATCTCTTTCATAAATCGTGTCAATCGTTAACCATCCTCTCCCCTCGCCCTAACGCAACTTTAATCCCGCCTATAGTTCAAACTAACGGTCGCCTGCCACTGCATTCTGCTCACCAGCCATGATTACCTTTCATCGGGAGTCAACAGTTACACGGCCACTAATTCCGCTCGCTGGTGGAACTAGTTGTCGCTCATTACCGGCATCAAAGCCATCATCGTGATACGCACGTCCCCGACAGCCAGGGATCGTGAGTTTCGCCTCGCCGTTCCACTGAACTTCGTCCACACCGCGTTTACCGCTATTCTCGCATCGTAAAAGAAAAGAAAAAAAGAAAAAAAAAAGATGAAAGAAAACGAAAAAAAGAAAAAGAAAGAGAGAGAGAGAGAGAGAGAGAGCGGGCAGGACGTTCTATCGATCGCGAACGATTATTATAGAGAGACGGACACTTTCCATATTCGAACGGCGTCATGGTAACGCGCGCCCCGTGCGAAATTACGATGTCCTATTGTTCATAGATACCATTATTACCATTGCAAGGTATCATTATCGACAGACTGATCGGCATTCATATTCATGGCGGCCAGATAACGGAACTGGATCTAAACGAGGGAGCGAAAGAGGGATGGCCGATCATCACGATCCGCAACGAAAATCGCTCGTTTTAGCGATCCGCGTCGATCACGTCCCTGTCGGTTGATTAGGGGATGCGATTTACCCTAGGGGGGAAGAGGGGATGATCGCAAAATGAGAAATAGTGGTCGAGAATGAAAAATTGGATCACGATTTCGAACGATTTCATCGTCGAAGAAATCGAATGGATCCGTAGAGATTCTGTAATTGATTTCGAAAAGATTGGAATCATCGTTGTGGATGATTACGATTCGCGGGATAATGTTGGAAGTGAAAAATATTTTTGGGAAGAGTCAAACGGGCGAGATGACAGAATCGTTGAAAAATTTCAACAATTCGTACGCACCGTAACCTAAACTCGAACAGTTTCGACAGTTCAAACACGCGACGAATTTAAGCCATCCAAAAATTTCCATCCTCCGTCATTCTTCACTCGCGAATCCCGATTATTCGCACGCGTTCCAAAATCTCGATCACCTACCCTCGAATTCCTCGAATATTCTCCTTCAAATAAAGCGAGATACAGATTATTATGAACACGTTAGAATCAGTTTAATAATGGATTATTATCGAAATGATCGAATTCTTAATATAAGAATTCTTGTGATACACTTACAATTTCACTGAAAACAAATAACACACAAATCGAAATTGTTAACAACGAAATATAATTCATCATAATACGCGATACTCTTTAAAACAAACGTAATTTCAACAGAACCAATTACATTATACATTACATTAATACACAAATATGATCGTGATTGATAACCAATTACGTTTTCTACCTCAACGAAACGCATTATTATCCTCCAACAGATCTATCCAATAGATACACAATTATGAAATAAAAAGAAAAATAAAATCATAATAAACTTAAATATCCAAGTAGGGATAAATTTAACCATTTCCCCTTGATATTTTACACACACACATTTGTTTAAATCAACTGTTTCATATGCACAACAAACCTGGAAACGGGACCGAACCCTAATTACCCTAAACACACATTTGTCCCCGGGCAGATGTACAACGGTGGAACAACACCTCTGATTGCTTAACGACGTCGACGAAAACATCCGGCGCCTCGGATCTGCATAAAGAGGGGGAGGGGCAGAGATGACGAGAGCGTGTGCGTGCGTGCGTGCGGCGGCGCGCAATAATGTCGTGGGTTTCGCGTGCGGGGGTTTATTGCACCGTGGTACGGCCGTATAGCTCGCCAGGAGAGATGAGACTTAATATCGTCCGTTGTAATGCAGGGCCGCAATATCTCGTCCTCGTCCCCCGTTGTCTCGTTTCCGCGGCGGCAATCCGCGCTGACATCGGCGGGAATCGCGTGCACGCCGCGAGATATTTGTGCCTCCCTCCTCCCTCCTCTCGCACGCCACGAATTCGTGACGATCGATCGATACGAGGGGGGAACGAGGGGCAACATCCGCAACACATCCTTGTTAAAACGAAACGCGCGGTGAAATTGGAAGCTGTCGAGTTTCGTTTTCGAGTTGATGGAGAGACTATTTTTGCCCGTTTTCGGCTCTATGATTCGATGTGCGGTTGGGTTTCGGCGGCGCGGGGAGGAGGATGGACATCGGATGGATCTTGACAATTTTTTTCTCTCTCTCTCTCTCTTTTTTTTTTTTTAGATCGTAGTTGTAGCATTAATCGGGCAGAATGGAAATCGGGGATGAATGTTCGCGCGAAGCGATGCGGATAGCGGGGCGAGAGAATTTTGAGTTTTGATCGGGGAAGGGATTAGGCGAATTCGTGTTAAATATCTCTATCGTGACGAGTTATACGGTTGCATTGTCATGAGTCTAATTAATATCGAAGCTATGTATACGACAACGTAATACACGACGATTCTCGGGGTTAAAGGGGTAAAAGGGGATAAAGGGGTTAACCTAAATCCAATCCGAAATCTTCGATCAAAAACGGCAGCCACTTCAATAATCCTCCCCTACGAATTTCTCATTTCCATTCCACTTCATCGAACTACCGCGTACAAACTTCTATCTAAATTACGAGCTCGAGAGAGAAAAAGAGGGAGAGGGAGAGAAAAATTGCTTGTAAAATCGAACAACCGATACAACTTCTCTTCTCGTGAATCGATCGTGAAAATCGTTCGGCCAATCGGCGTAAAGGATCCATCATCGTTGGCCAGCCGGGACCGGTTCTCGTTCGATGTATCGAGAGCAGGGGAAGTCGACACTTCCGAGTGGAACGGGTCGTGATATTCCCTCTTACTCCCCCCCTCTTCACGATTCCCGGGGCTTTGTGTGTTTTGACGGGGGTGTTAACTGACCCCGTGGAGGCGGCGTGGAGGAGGGTTGTGCTCAAGAGCAGAAGAGGGTGGCATTAGGTCGAGGTCACCAGGACGCCGAAGCGATCGATGCAGCCCGCCAGGCACCACCACCCACGCTCTCCAACCCTCCCCGCTTTCTCCCTCCGTCCAGATATCTCTCTCTCTCTCTCTCTCTCTATCTCCTCTCGAGACCGTTATCTCCGATCCTCCCCTCCCTCCAACCCTGCTCATTATGTCTCTATTTACGTCTGGATGCATTTAAAGCAAAGACGGCGTGGAAAAACTCGCAAGCTCGTTCAACACGTGGATGCTCCACATTCGAGGTTCGGGATCAGCTGTTTTCCCCGGGGCTTCTGGATATTACGTTACGCTTCCACGGTCGAGATGAATACGAGCCTCGACGTATGGGCGTTCGTACGTGGGAGAGTGATTAAGATCGAGGGTGGGGGAAAATCGCTATTCGAGTTTCGAGATTTACATCGAGATCGGGGTATTCACGAGAGGGATGGATTTTGAATCGAGCACGTTCCTTTTTTTTTTTTTTTTTTTTATAAAAAAAAGAAACGCGTACGTGATAGTGGTCGTCGCTCTTGATTTCTTAAGAGGTATGAATATTTCGAGAAGTATCGAGAAGTATCGTACATTTCGAACCTGTACATGGATAGATGCTTTTCAAACAGTTTCTAGTTCTGTCGAACTGATCGAATACTTTTCGAATCTGTAAAACGAAATGAATGCGTAAATAGAAGGAAAGAAATTAAATAAAATTCTCGCATCCCCTTTTCGATTAGACCGGCAAATAAGAAGAGAACCCTCTTCTTAAAAAAAACCTTATTTATCCGCTTATCCGAAAGCGTCGATCGAGCATATTTCGTAAGAGGATATTCGTAAGAGACAGAATGAGAAAGAGAGAGAGAGAAAGAGAAAGAGAGAGAGAGAGTTAAATAACATAAAATCAGCGGGAAGAGGAAAGCGAGTCGAAGCCACTCACCGGCGCTCGTAATTTCAACGAGCTCGTAAACTCTGAATTCACGAGGGATAGAGAATCGCGCTCGCTTCTCTCGATAATGTCCCCCCTCCTCCGTGGAAATGGATCCGTCACGGCCGATTACCGTGATCCTAAAGCCGCGTCTCCATTCGAATTCTTGGGCGAGAATAATTTTCATTCGAGGAGAAGAGGGGGGAGAACAGACGAGGGTCGCGGACAGACGCAGACGCCACGCTCCGCGCTCGCTCGCTCGCCTGTCGCGCGTTGTTTGGTTTCCAAGGGTCTCTTCTCTCCCAACACTCGCGACGATCCCCCTTTCCTTCCGTTCTTTGTTCTCTTCGTTAAATGCCCCGGCCGTTTTGAGCGTCGAACCGATCGTTTGTCCGCCGAACACTTTCAACGATCTTAACCCCACCAGAGACCCCAACGTTCTGCGATGTCGGCCGCTCTCCGAGTGCTTTCTGCGTGACCGTACCATGCGACTCGTACCATGCGAACAGGTTTAACGCGTTATGACGTGAGTAACATGACGCTCTTGGATATCGTCGAGACCATCGATTATTCCTCCGATTATCTCGCGAGCGAGAGGGGCACGTCGTGTCGTGTCCGAGCCTTTCGAGTGTCCTTTTTAACCTTTTGCCACGAGGATGGACCAGGCTCGTGTAGATCGAGAAAAGAGAGGAGCTCGTTTTTGGTTATATTTTATCATCGATTTTATCGTGGAATTAGGAATGTCTGTGATATGTCGTTCGCTTTTTCTTTTTTTTTTTCAATTTTCGTTGGGATAATCGATCGATCTTCTTCGAAAGATTTCCGCGTGACATTGATCCACGATCGATGATAGTTGTTTTAATGGAAAGATCATATTTTCAGGAGGAATCTAGAACTCCTATATCCAGTGAAGACGATTCTTGCCTCTACTCGGAACTCGATCTCTTAAATCCAAGGTATTGTTCAGATTTTGTCAAGAAATTTAAGGAACGTATAAGAGAGTGGGGGACGTACGAGAGATATTTTTCAGATATCATTCTCAAAAATCGCTGCACCAGTGTCGTGATATCAAAGGGACGAAGGGTAATTCGCCGAATCTTCTGAAAACATCGTCGAGGGATTCTGATTACTGTTGTTGTTTCACGCGCAGCGATCACGTCGAGACAAAATTACGTAAGTGATGTAAGTGTAACTGGAATCCAGGTATGTAATTCCCTCAGACGTTAACTTAAACGTTAGTCTATTCCAAATATGTTTCAGTAACCAAGAAAGTAGGTGGAAAATATCGTGCGTCGAGTCTTCAATATTTTCCAGATTACAATCGAAAGAAGCATGAGGTAATAGACGATGCCTGTTTCCTAAAATATGAAAAAAAAAAAAAAAAAAAAAAAAGATATCGAACGGCCCTTTGTCGAAAACGGACGCGAGTTCGTTAGAAATAACTGTCACCGTGACAGAATCGTAACCATGTTTACAAGCGTCCATTTACGTCACTTCGCGTCACGTACGTATCGGGTTTTTCCAGGGTAAAAATATCTAGAATCGAAAAATGCTTCGAGGTACATTTCGGGCTTTGAACTTTAAACCATTTTTTTCCTTTTTTTTTTTTTTCGCGTCGATGATCGTATAGCAGTTTTTTTCAAAAGGATTTTTGTCACGGAAACGAAACGAGGAACGAGCAACACAGATAATTTGGACGGAAGGAAACGAATTAATAGAAATATAAAAATTGATTTCGAACTTGTATAAAGGAGTTATTTTTACTTGTTTCGATTAAAAAAAAAAAAAAAAAAAATTCTTTTCCACGAACGATCCGCGAAAGCCTCTCCCATTTCACTTTTGAAAAATCAATGTTTCGCGAAGAAGGGTGAACGAAACGCTACGAAAACAATCGAAAATATCGATAAAAATAATCGTCGTCGTTTATTCTCCCTCCTTGTTATTACTCTCGCTATATATACTCCTAGGTAACTTTTGCCACGGAGAGGTCTTCAAGCGGGTGCGAGGATCTTAGCGGGAAGTCTTCGACGAAACTTGGGTAATTATCGGAGTAAAAGTTGGGCGTGCATGCTTTTAAATCACGCCTAGTGCGAATCGGTATAATCGACACCTAATGTACACCCTTAACAACAGGAGGGAAAGAAGCACGCCGCGAATAATACGAGCGATCCGCCAACGCAGTAAAAAATGTAAGTTGCCCGATCAAACGATAAAAATTAGTTTTCAATTTTCGCGCGCTCGAGTTTTGGGGCCGATTTTATCCGATATAATATCTACTCCGAATATCGTGAATAATTAAATAATTAAAAAATTACAATAAACTTAATAAACAAGAAAATCAAAGTCGCTCGTTCGAGTTTTGGGGCCGATTTTATCTATCCGATTTAATATCTATTCCGAATATTGTGAATAATTAAATAAGTAAAAAATTAGAATAAAGTTAAACAAGCAAGAAAATGAAAATCGTTCGTCCGAGTTTTGGGGCCGATTTTATCCGATTTAATATCTACTCCAAATATCGTGAATAATTAAATAATTAAAAAATTACAATAAACTTAAATAAACAAGAAAATCAAAGTCGCTCGTTCGAGTTTTGGGGCCGATTTTATCTATCCGATTATTCCGAATAATTAAATAATTAAAAAATTACAATAAACTTAAATAAACAAGAAAATCAAAGCTCGTTCGAGTTTTGGGGCCGATTTTATCTATCCGATATAATACCTACTCCGAATATTGTGAATGATTAAATAATTAAAAAATTAGAATAAAGCTAAACAAGCAAGAAAATGAAAATCAAACCCGATTCACGTACACAAATTTTTCAAACCACTTTTCTTCTCGTTGTTTATAGCGGCCCCATGATTCTGGTCACCTCCTCAGGCCGGAAGCCCTGAAACTCGTTCGCGTGGCTCGATCCGCTCTGCCTCCCAACCCCTCCCCGGTTCCATGTACTTGTTCCTCTTCGCCGTATTCCTCTTTGCCTGCGTGTTCCTCGGCAAGGAGCGCAATAACACAGGGCGGGCGAGCAGAAAGGAGGCGGCGGCTCGAGCGTCCTCCACGCAGTTACCGTCGACGTCGAGATCGAGCTTTTAATCCTCCCTTCGGGGGGCCGGTTCACAGCCGTGGCGGACGAGGATCGATCGGAATCGCCGCGGCCCGGAAACAGCAAGAGCAGCGTTGTCGTCCTCTACCACGAGAGATCGGTGGTTCCGGCCGCAACATCCCCCGAGCCACCCCTCAGAGTCGCCCACTCGGAAGTGGCGGTTCCGCGCGAGCCGAGTCCATCGGTGATCCACACTGCCCGCTCCCCGCGCCAGGAAAGGTAATTATCACGCCTAATGACTGCGGATTACTCATCGTGCCACCCTCCATTCGAGTAATAACGGGAATTCCTACTAATCGCGACTCGTATCGTCGTCGTGGAATAAACTTTGGAAATGAATCCAAAGTTTAATCGGAAGCACAAGAATTTTAAAACTCCAACGATCGAAGCCGCGAAGTCTTTCTGCTCGATATTTCGTAGCAGAAGCGCGGTGAATAATACGTAGAATTTTTTTGGAGGGAAATATCAATTTGAAGAGGTGGTAGAATCGTAATTAGAATTAAAGATGATTACGCGATAAAATTTTTAGAAGAGTAAATTTTGCGAAAAAAGTTCAGAATCGTATTCTCGAAATTTTGTCGATACTTGGAGCTGATTAAATTATATCGCACACGAATGTTACTCCTCGAAAAGAATCCGGTGAAAATTCTCTCCCTCTCCCTCTCTCTTTCCTATGGACAGATTGAATCAGGACGAAACGTCGGAGGATCGATCTCCTATATATCCAGCGGAGCGGAGGAAAGTTACTTTGAGACGACGTCGACGTTTATCGAAGCGGCAAAGGCCGGTGAACGTGCACATTTATCAGGACAGCCGCGTGGTGCAGGTCGGCTCTTTGTCGGAGAATCATCGTTTCGCGTCGAAGGGGGTGCATCTCCAGGATCAGAGATCCGATTTGGCCAGATACACGATCAACACTGCGAAAAATTTGATTAGATCGGAGGACGATACATCCACTCGACAGGACGACGATTCGGATGATCCCGAACGAGATATAAGAACGGGAGAACAGTGGAAACGCGACAGAAGCTTCTTCGGGGAACGATGTCGTCCCTCTGATAATCCCGTTTCCAAACTAATGGCTCATTCCAGGTAACCAGGACATTACCACGTTTTTTACAAGTTTTTTTATAAAGAACGGTTTACCCTTTCGGACGACCATTTGTCAAATGGAACAACGAGCTTGATAAAGTGATACGATACGATATGGAAATTTGTGATGTACGGAATATAATTTATCGAACGAACGTATCGAATTTACACCGCGATAATCCTCGATAATAATGCCAAATGTCCGTAAATTGCAGCGTTTATAATCATCAGACGTAATATTTGATAGCCCTTTCCATTAGCCTCGGCCAATTATTATTATCCACCTCGAGCACAACACACGTACGCGATCCGTAATTGTACCATTTACTACCTTCGCTATTACCTTTATAGATCACACTATAAATTATATTCGACGTTAACGTAACGATATATAATCGAACCGAATGATTATATAATCGTGTCGAATATTCATCGATAGAAAACAAAAAAAAAAAAAACGAGAAATAACGAAGAACGTTTTGGAAAATGGTTGTGCAGTCCAGGACGAGACGGTGATTGCAGCCAGTGCAAGAGAGAAGCGGTGTGTCCGAACTTGGCCTATCTAATGCAGCAGATACAGTCACGACCGAGGGAACGGGGTGACGATCGCGCATTCATCAGTATAAACGACGGCGAGAATTCGAAGCGAGTTTTCCCGTTCCAATCAACCCCAAGCGGTAACCTCAAGATCCTTCCGAATCAGGTAAATGTCCCGATCGATCGCCGGATCGGGATGTATCCGTCTAACCCTTAGGAATGTTGTTGGCCTCAAGGCAGACGCATAGTCGTTTTAGGTGGTGTTCGAATCGAAGAAGGTGAGCGTGCTGGTCGCCGATCCCAAGCACACGAAGATCAACGTGAAGGCCGAGCTAAGTAAATCGGGGAACGAGCTTGGCGGATGCGTGTCCGATTGCTCCACGCATCCGAAACCGATCGATCTTCCGTTAGGTGTATCGTCGTCGATGATCAATCAGTTGCAAGTAAATTTCGCGTCACGAGGAGCCTCCTCCTCTCCCCCCACTTTCGATTTATCCATCGTTCTTTATTAAAATCGCGTGGATAGTTTCAATCTCTCTCTACGAAGCACTTAACGAAGTGAAAGCAATTCTCGTAACGGAGATTGAAGCAGTGTGAAGTAGATAGTCAAAGCAATTTGGAAGAACAATAATTCGGCTGTTGTCTCGGCGTTAAAAAAAAGAAAATGTTTGTCAACCAGACGCTCGAGTTGAATCTCTGGATCGGTGGTTAAAGTTATCGTTTATATTACATATTTTCGAAACAGACTCACAAAAGGTTGCCAGCTCTCGAGGACGAGTATAAATCCACGATGCATCCGTTCAAAGCGAAGATCGGCCAAATGGAAAGCGCGGAGCAGAAGCAGTCCACGTCGTCGTCGTCACGCGAAACATCGGTGCTACAGGAAGTGCCACTCTCCGCGTGAGTTTTTATTAATTTTCATTAGTAGAGTCGAAAATCGATACTCCTCGTCGAACCGTTTCGAAAAAGAGAGAATCGGTCGACGTAATTTTCGCGCGAAAAAGAGAGAAAGAGAAGAACGACGGATTATTTATAATCCCGTCTCGCTCTAAGGAGAGACTTTCGTTTATATGAAATTATACGTCGACCTATACGTACGTATATATTTCTTTCGTTTCGACGTTAAGGGGAGAACTGTCGATTTCCCGACAATCGTCGCGAGGTCGATGTTTCTCGATAAACGGTTGATCGTACGGGTGTAATTTCGAACAGACTCGGATTTACGGGCGAGCAACCAATCGATTGGAATAACATAATTCTCCCGGAGAAGACTGACCTGTATCAGGAGTTGGCAAGGCGTATCACAAATTACAAGTAAGCTTATAGTTGTGTTCGATGTAAGCAAGTCGATGCATCGACGAGGCGGGGATTACGGGCTTAAATTTCATTCGATCGATCTTTCGAGGAACGCCGACTGTATCGTGCGAATCGATCAGGACGAGTTCCATTGCCACTTGCTCGTGCTTCAGAGCTACAGCACCTTTTTCGACGAGAGGAATTGCAAGGAGATCGATCTCACCGGGGTAAGTTATCGGAATTTTTCTTTCATCCCCCGAGGGGAGGGATGTAACGCTCTCCTTCTTTCTCCTCCCTCCGCTGGGAATCGTAGACACCCGTGTATTAACCGTGTCGAGGGAACGAAGAGCCACCGTGTCTTCTCGTTTGAAAGGTTCGATTTAAGAAGCTCTATTACGCCTAGGGATAGAAAATATCCACGCAAAGATTTTTCCTACTAGAGATATCACCACCCTATTAGATATATATATATATATCTTTGAATTTCTTCAAACAGGAACGAAAGAGAAAGAGAGATGACTCGATCAATTAATCACTCGTGACAATTCAACTTTTACCCCTTCTAATTTCTTCAAACCCAACAAAGTCCAATCCGTTTGCTTCCATTTCCCATTCCATCCTGCGAGCGACAGGACGATCAGATTTTTCCCTTCCTTGTGCCATTTATTCAAAGAGCGAGAGGCACGCGAACGAAATTTCTTCAAGCCAGCTTTCACCACCTTTCATCGATTTTCATCGTTTAACGAGCAGCGTTAAACGAGTCGTAACCACTGGACCACTGCCGACCGTTTCCTCCTCGTATCGGTGTTACCTTCGACGCTCGTCGTATCGCATCCCACGCGCAATACGATAGCGCGTTAAGGATGTCCCCCATAGGGATATCCTTTATTTATTACGACGCGACAGTTTCCCTGAGAGAGAGAGAGAGAGAGAAATACGAGATGCAACGTACACCAACGCTTCTTGAAAAGATATATCACGGATTCGTCGATACGTAGAGTACGGTGCGCCTGAGCTGAAATAAAGTCCCTTTGTTCGCGCGATCCGATTTTCTCTTCCTCTCTCGCGGATGCGAGGTAACTATCGGTTCGATCGAATCCAATGGACGTTCATCTTTTCTCCTCTCTCGTTCTTCCTCTTCCTCTTCTTCTTCTTCTCGAACGATTTTTTCGATAAACTGACCGATTCCATAAAACTTTACAGACAGAATGGAATTACATACTCCTACTTTGACGAAAAATTCTTAGATCGCGATGTCGCTTGGCGGTCGAGGTCGATAAATCGAGTTGAGGACGATTTTTACGACTTTTTTACGATCTTGAGCAGAAGCTTTCCAGCAAAATTTAAAATTCTATTCAATATAGTTAGTCTTAGTTTTGTTATCGTAAAGTTAATTGTTCGATTTGTTTTTTAAATATTCGACAAATATTCTCGATTATCTTTTCGTATACGTTGGATCGCATAATTTATACTCCACGTTCAAAAAGAATGAACTTTATAAATCATCAAGATTTAAGCATTAACTCGCGTATTCTATATCCTCTGGTCGGCTATAAATTATTTTCGAGGGTGTTCGTTCACGATAATGACAACCGTCCAATAAATATACGATCGTAGGAATCGAGACTCTCTCTCTCTCTCTCTCTCTCTCTCTTAGTGGTTTCGATCGAAGTAGATTCGATAAATCTTCCAGCGTGGAATTTTCGAAATCGGCCAACCAGAGGCACAAGGGGTTGCTCGCGACCCCAATCTCTTGTGTCAGCATCCTGGCCACTTCTTTACTCACCGGTGTGACTCGGTTGGGCTCCAAGCCAAGCGACCTTGAACTCCTTTTTCCTCTTCCCTCGCTATATTTGACTATCTTTTTTTTNTTTTTTTTTTTTTTTTTTTTTTTTACTTTTAAGGTGAATAGCGACTCTTGAACAACCAACCTTTAATGATTGCTGCGAGGAGCCAGTTTCTACCAGTCATTCTTGTTCTATCAACTTGATGTGTTTTCTTTCTTCCTCACGCCACGTGTCAAGGAGACACGTGTAATTAAAAATGGAATGACGCTTTCCTCGCGACAAAATAGATGATTTTCGTGCGCGATTCTTTTCCTTTTATGCCTCTTGCACTTGCGTTAATTGTCCTCGAGTCCGTTTTTTTATTTGGATATAGAACGATGGAATTTGATTAGAATTCGAACGTAGAATTATATTTTAATGATTTGCACGAATCGTTTCAATTCTTTTGCTATATTTTTTCTTAATAATCTCCTTGAGAGTTTTCTTTTTTTTTTTTTTTTTGAGAATCGCGAGAAGAATCTCAAACAATGTGTATGGAAATTTTTTTAACAATATTTATTCAATATTTATTTATTAATAATCTTTTGAAATTATATTCATTATATATTCGAGACAACCTGTAATCGATATCTTTCCAAATATATTTATGATATAATTTAAATTCTCTTCTGTGTTAATTAGAGCGACGTGTCCTCGAGAGCGTTCTCGCTCATCTACGATTGGATGATCAGTCCACAGATCGAAAGTTACCGCCTTTTGCAGAGGGACAATATTCTGGAAATCTTCACCGCCTCTCAATATCTCGGAATTAAAGGTAAACATTTCTCGAGAACACGTTTAAAAATTTGAAACGAAAGATTGGAACACAATTCTTAATTAACAACCTCGTCGATCGATATTAATAAAAAAAGGAATACAAAATCTGTCAAACGAAGAATAAGAACGAGATCGAACACTCGCGCTCTCTATGAACAATGATCCTATTTGCATCCTGTTCGCTACCCACCATCAATCTTCTAAAACGCGAGTGCACCGCGCAATATATATATATATATGTATATTTATAGTCGATGCTTTCCATCGCGCTTTAAAACTTCGATCTTTCCCCCGGCAAGAATGAAAAGTTTCGAGTCGCGATAGGCATTCGGGAAAGTCTCGATGGCCTCGAGTTTCCTTGAATACGTCACTGTCCAACTCGAAACTTCAATAAACCGGGGTGAGATCCGGGGTGAAACAGTGTTACGACCGTGTCTTCGAGCGAAATTCTCCAGCCTTCCCCTCTCTCGAAACTCGCGGTTGCCTCGCGCTATTTTTCATATTTTTCGTATTGCGTAAAGTAGAGATGGCAAGACTTCGAGCATATCTATATATATATATATATATATTTTTTTTTTGGCGTTCGATAGAATTGGAAGAACAATGCTGGGCTTTCATCGACAACGACGAATTGTTCAGCGAGGACACCGCGTTTTTATTGTACTTGGAGGCGAAGAAAGTTCGTAACACAGCTGTTATGGAGCTGATGGTGCCGAGAATTATGAAATTCTTCTTGATGTTGGTCAGTACCAAAGACTTCCTCGACTTGGCCGTGGACGAACTTTGCCTTTTGTTGAAGTCCAACTACATTTCGGTCAATAGGTATTCGATGAAGTAAACGATGACGAATAGTATCGAATCAATCAAAATGTTTTTTTTTTTTTTTTTTTTTTTTTTTTTTTTTTTTTTTATTTTGTTTGAATTTGCGAATTCTGGTGGTTATCAGCGAGATGGAGGTTCTCATGTCCGCCGTACGATGGCTGATGCACGATTGGGCGAACAGGAAAGAGAACATGTTGGAAGTTCTGAAATGCGTTCGTTTCGGATTGATCGCGCCGTGGCAGCTGGTCGACGTGAAGAGGAATCCCGAGAATCCTGAATTTATGGAACTCATGTCTTCGCCCGATGTCCAAAAAATGGTCGACGACGGGCTAGCGTAGGGATCGTGTTTCTTTTCTTTTCTTTTCTTTTCTTTTTCGCACACTTTTTCGAAACGATGAAAGATTCTTATCTGCAAAATTCTTCCAGTTTCGTCATTATAAAATATTGGTACGGCAATCAAACGGAGGATTACTATCACTGGATCGACTTGCTGGGACTCACGGAACCGACCAATCGAAACTGGGCTGGAGAGGACAAGGTATCGAAATTGAATTTTTAAAACGCTCGTTTTGTTTCGTAAGATATTTCTGAATGAAATTTGTCGTTTTTTTTTTTTTTTTAAAGAATTATGTGACGTATCGAGAATTTTTACTTTATCTCGAGGAGTATCAAAAAACAAAACTTTCCGAGTTGAAGAAGAGGAGAAATTACCAGAAATCTCTCAATTCCCCTCATAACGATTACACATTTACGATGTCCAAAGGACCGAACAACTTTGTCCAGAGTTCAGGTATATTTATAATTTCGAATCGAGGATATGGAGGATACGAAAGTAGAAAAAAAGTGTTGTAATATAAATCGTTGTAAATCGAAGGGAAAAATTGTTTAGGCGATACTGGTGTTATTCACGGGACAACGATGCACTCTAGACATTCGAAACAAATACCATCGAATTATTTACAAATGGAGATGCCAGAGGGCATGATGATACCACCGAAATTCATGAACGAATATATAAACAACGTAGAGAAAAGCAAAGGGGTGAGTAACCCTGGGGCGAATCGAAGATCGACGCAGCAATCTCAAGATGGACCGATTCATTGAACGATGAAACTTGCAAAACTCGTGATACACGTCTTTTTTATATAATTTTAATATTACCTTTTTCTTTTTTTTTTTTTTTTCAATCGAGTATCAATGATTCTTCGTGTCGTGATCTTGCGTAACAAAACCGTATCATCTAGATATTGTGTGTGTATGTGTGTCAAATATTTAGTTTATATATATATATATATATTTATCGTGTATCGTATATTTATTTATCATTTATTCGATTTCTATAAGAAAATATACGTGCATGCGTGAGATTTGATAAGACGTGTGTGTACGATATATTTATTATCGTGTTCCCGCGATTTCGAGGCGAAAGCGATCGAGGGAAAAGCGTGTAACGTGGCCTTGGATGGGAAATATAACCCATGGAAACGTCGAACGGTGAGTCGTTTTGCAATCGAATCGATGAGGAGAGATCAGATTTGCCCCATTTCAAAATTTCCTCTGCTTGTTTTTCAGGGATTGTTACGCGGTTATCGTCAAAGAAATCTCGAGGTAAGCTTACGTGCTTGTAAGTGGTAAATGATAAATTTCACCAAAGTGAAGCGTAGTGTGAAAGTCACGGAGCTGTAGTCAAAGGTCAGAGTTTATGTTGCTCGAAAATCCGTGCTTTAATTCTGAAAACCCTTTCTGGGGGACCCATTATGCACCGCGCTGCTCGTGGAAACAGCACTTACAGCGTATAAGCTCTTACCTTGAGATTACACAGACCCCGTAACAATTTAGCGTCCGTTAATTACCCGTCAAAACGATCCCATTTAATTCATCGCGGTTAAAGTTCGAGCGTCGATCTTGCTCCCGTTATACGTTCGAACGATTTTCTATTTCTTTCGATTCTCCTTGTTTAATTAAAAGTTACGTGTTTATTCGATTAGAAGCAGCTAATTGAACGATCTATAAATTATACATGAGTCGTGTACCAGTCTTGTTAAAACATCCCTGACCTACATACGACTCAGCGTACTCAGTTGAATTCGTAACAATGAAAAATTAGCACGATCTTCCAGCTATTAATTCACCACGTAACCAACATACACTCTTCTTGTAAATTTTCCACGAGATATTATTCATTTTTATTCTCTTCTCAGACAATAAATCGCACAGAAATCCGAAAAATTACGCGTTCGTATCGACGAATAAACGGGCAAAAGTTTTAAGTTTTTTAAACTCTTGTCCTCATTATCGTACGTTCTAAAAATACTAATCGAAATTTTCTCATTTTCAATTTTCCAAAAATATTCCCTCGGGCGAAAAAATTTTCAAAATTTATCAAATTTCGTATCGAATTTCAGAACGACGAGAGGAGCGTCGCCTTCGACACGAGATTCACCGGTGGAGGAGAATCGCTCTCTCAGAAGCTGTACAGGTCGACGATCGAGAAATACACGCAGGAGCAGTGCCAGCGCGGCGTGAATTCATCGGTAACACCTTGTCGGCCGAGAGATCTCCCTCGCAAGGGAGAGAAACTTTCTCGAGACATCCTCTCTTTTTTCTCCAGAACGTCGATAAATTGGATTACGAGAACCGGCGCGAGAAGAACACGGCGGATGTTTGCCGGTGCCAGCAGCAGCAGCGCGAGTCGAATTTCATATTTTCCGTGAAGAAGCAGCACCCGACGAGACGTAAGATCCCGATGGAACTGGAAGAGCGTACAGACTCCGGCAAATCCGAGGTGGAGGCCGCAACCACGATACAGGCAGTTTATAGGGGTTACAAGACTCGGAGGAAGATCGATGAAGTTGGTGGATATATATATATATATATCTTATATCTTTCCTCTATTGATCTTTTCATTTGAACAATTTGAAGAAATGCAAAGAAGATGTCTTTATTAACACGTTATTATTAGCCATCTTTCTTGTTTAACGTTTCGAATGAAAATTTTTCATATAAAATTGTGAAATGAAAAATTAGTCGAGTTAAAACTTGAAATGTTCATCACACAGGAATTTTTGAACAGTTATAATAATACTTTTTTTTTTTTTACAAAGTATTCGACATTCGATTCGTTTTCTTTATTAATGGCAGATAAGAAAATCAACGTCAGAGGAGAAGCGGAATGTGAAGAAGGTAGCAGAACTTTTGTCTATTCCAATGGACGAAACGCTACGCAATTCCTCGATGGAGCCGATCAGAATTTCAAGCACGCCGGTAAATCAAATGAGAAGCGAGAAGGAGGAGATAGCCCAACTGCACTCGTTGAGCCCAAAAAACAGAGGACAGCCGATCCTTCAAAATCAAAGTAAACGTTGCGTCGAGGATCAAATGAATCAAGTGAGAGTGCATGGAAATATTTTTCTTTGAGATAGGGAAGAATCTTGCTTTATTGGAAATCTCAAATTGTAGTACGAAATGCGTGGTTCTGGTTACACGATCAACGAGGAACAACGAAAACAGCAAATTTCTCAAAATTTAACGGCTCAACGGGAAACGTTAAAGTCTATCAAGATGATAAAATCGCCCATGTTTTTCTCGAAATTCGACGAAAGAAACAGTTCCTTGTCGAACACGGATACCGACGATCTTTCCTCTCCGCGAATCGAGATAAAATCGACGGCAACGAATATCCAGCAGAATGTTTCTGGCGAGAAAAACAACGAAATGAATTATCCCGATGGTGATAATATTCAACGGCTCAAACCCACCATCAGAAATGTTCAGATTCGAGCTATGACGAGCTATAAACGACCTCTGTAAATATTACGTAAATTTTTCGCAAATATTATAACCTAATTAATAAAAATTTTTAAACACTTAATTCCTAAAATAATTATGTCCTTAACATTTTTAACAATTTTGTATTGTTACAATTTGAAATCACTTTTTTTTAAAAATTAAGAACATCTATTGATTAATTGCAGCCCACAAAAAATCAGCGACAGCATGATAGCAACCAACGATGCCGGTTACTTCTTCGACAACTCTTTGTTCTTTCCTGACAGAGAATCGGTCCTCGTGTTCGGTGGCGTCGATCCCCACGAGGAATATGGCCGACCCGGGAATACCGGCAAGGACATATACAGGTTTAAACCTGACCAGAACATTTGGGAATTCGTGGGGGAAATTCCACGAGCGAGGCATCATCATTCGGTCGCTTACTTAAGAGGTCGCATTTATATAGTAGGTGAGTCGAATGGGTGACGAAACAGAGAAGTTTGCAACGTTATAAAAAAAAAAAAAAAAAAAGAAAAAAAGAAGCAGAACAACAAGGATTCTCATTCCATTTACGTAGCATTTAAACTAAAAAAAAAAAAAAAGACTTCTACCGTATATAATCTTCTTTACGGCTTTGTTTTCGAAACCGCGAAAAGAGATTTGTCGTTCATCCTATTGTGCAATATTTTTTGTCAAGAAAGATTTAAAGATGTTGAAAAAGTGAAAAAAAAGAAAAAGGATCAAAAAAAAAAGAAAAAGAGAGAAACATTTTTCACCAGGTGGAGCCGATCCCTTAGAAGACAAACTTCATAGGAAAAGCTTCGCGGTTGGAAGCGTTTGGAGTTACGATCCAACTACCAGGACTTGGTTCAATGAACCTGGCATGCTGACAGCTAGAAAGGACTTCGGATTGGTGGTCAGCCACGGGAAAATGTACGCGATAGGAGGGCAAGGAAGGAACGGGATGTGAGTTGTTACACAGACGGGGAGAGCGTAATTACGTTGCTCCTTCCACGTTTTCCTTACTGCTTATTTCTATGCTACGTGACGATAATTAACGACTAATCTAAGCCTTCATAATTGTCACCGGTGTCACGGTGTTAAACCGTAACGATTTGCATTTACGTAAAAGCGAAAAAGAAACGGACAAGTCGTTTCACATCCTATCCTATAATATTCAACGATAAATAAAAAAGAAAAGGAAAATAAAACTTGTTTACTCTCTATTGCAGAGCTTTGAAAACGGTAGAGGTTTTCGATCCATCGGACTCCACGTGGAGAGAGGTGCAATCGATGCAGATCGCCAGGGTGGGACCTGCCACTGTGAAATATCGAGATCTTATCTGGGTCGCTGGCGGAATGACAAAATCGAAGAAGGAGCTATTCTCAAAGGAAGTGGAGTGCTACGATCCGATCAAAAATTTGTTAGCTCGATTCCATCCTTTATAGTTCCCTTCATGCGTTCCCTATTTCCCATTACCTGGATTAAACGCTCGATATATCGAGTATAGAACGGTAAATGCTGGTCGGTAAAAGCTGTTATCGATGCGCTCTTTTCAGATGGCTGAAAGCGATACCTTTGAGGTCACCGAGATGCTTTGCCTCCTTCTACGTGATATCCGACTGTCTTTACGTGATCGGCGGAGCATCGACCACGGAAAACGCCACTCAGAGTATCGACAGCATCGATGTGTGGGATGGAAACGATTACGTTTGGAGAGAGCACACGAATATGTCGATCGCGAGACACGGACATTCCACTGGTTCTATAGGTCAGTTTTACATTACAGACGTGATATATCCTGAGCAATTTTTCTTCTAACGGTTTTATATACATATATATAGCGATATAATATATATAAGGTATAAATATACATTTGTACAGTAATAATATCAAATAGTAAAATTTTTTAAATTTAGATTGAGAATTACGCGTATATTATATAAAATTTTTTAATAACTAAATAATCGAAGCAAAGTTTATATAATTCATAATTTTGATACACTCACCGAAGACTGCTTAATTGGAATGTTTCTTATTTAGGTGATCAATTGTTGATAATTGGCGGAGTAACCACGGTGTTTATGAAAACCTTGAATAGCGTTGAATGTTATTGTTGCGATATGGGGAAATGGATGAAAGGTGTATCCGCGTTGCCGCATCCGGTTTCCGGTCACGGAACCGTGTCTTTACCACCGGCAAATCTTTTAATAAATCGCTGATAGCTGTGAAATAAAAATTGACATGTTTCTTTATATGTTTGTTGTGTTTGATAATCAATGTATTTGAGTATTTATTATATCATTACCATTTGTATTTCATTATTTCTAATTATATATCATACCACTTTTACGATTTACACATTTTTTTATGAGCCTTTTAACCGTGCAATATAATATTACAAATTAAACAATATTTTTTCTATTATTTTAGATATGTAAGAATTTCATCTAAAATAAATGATAAAATAAAATTCTTGAATCACTAAACACTCGTAAACAACACTTGAAACATTATTAATAATAAAGGTTAAAAATTTATACTTCTTCCAAGCAGCACTTTTACTTTCTAGACTGGTCACCAGATGGCAGTAGCATTCTCCCCATTCGGGAGCCGCCATCTGTCAAGGGAGTCGCGTGTTATGAACCGCAAAGCGTGTGTGGAAGTTTCGAAAAAGGATTCGGATTCGAATGCGGCGAGGTAACTAGCCGCCGTGCGGATAAACGCGAGTTAACCTGAAAATGGCCGAATCGTGTGAGTCAGTGGTGTCAAGTATAGTGACTAGTGTTGTGTCCCATGGACAAACAAAAGTGCCTGAAACACCATGCCAAGAGGACGCGAAGACATCCGGTTCCCCCGGTATGTAAGCTCTATTAGAATATCCCATGATAATTTGAAAGCAGTTTATTCAAACGCGACTGTCGAGCGCGACCATGCAACAAGTGGCACGGAGCGCTCTCGCATGCCTAACAGGAGCGTATGGGGATATTTATGGGCCCGTTTAGACCTGTTCAGTATCCCGGTATTTTGTAGCTAACATGTCGCCGTCGATCACGTGACTCATCGTTGACCTATGCAACTTAATTTTCGCGCGTATGAAGTGTCAAAAATGTCGGCAAATCACTGATGACATTTTTCATAAATGTCAGAATCCATAAAAAGTATATTCAAATATTTGCAAATCATTTTTTTTTCTCATCATGATGACGAATTTGTGTAATTCTAATATTTTATTGAACTGAAATTCCATTTCGATTTATTCGGATTAGATTTTAATATCGTTTTAATTATATGTATATGTATTTTATTGAAAATCGCCACAATTATGGATTAAATGTTACATTACTAATGGAAAGATTATTTCTAGTCAGACAAAAGATAGATAGAGATAGATAAGAGATTGTGAAATAACTTTCTGTATCAGAATAATTACACGGATATTGAAACTTGATCATAAATATATGAGTGTATTTTCATAAATAAAACGTATTTTTAAATTTAATCTATATAAAACTATGTAAAATTAATGACAATTATAATTGATTTTATTCACCGTTAGCAACAGTTCATAAGAACATACCTATGAAAAAAATACAACAAGTTTCTATACCGGTTTTATTTTATTTATTTCATCTTCGTTTAACTGACTTCGAATTTTTAATTTTCGTGGTGGTGCTATTAAATAAGAAAACTGCTAAAATTCAATTTACCGAAAACATTGTTTTTTATATCAATTTTCATATGTTATTTTCTTCATTTTACTTTAAATGTTTAAAAATCTTTAGAAATGTGTTTATAAATATAAAGTACATTAATTATCGAGAAAATTTTACGTAAACTCCCTTATCGACAAAAAATGATACCATGATAACTTATCCGCGATAAGCTTTAAATTACTTTAGATATGCGAGATTTCTCTTATATTACCTATTTTCATTACTCGAATAAGTTTCATTTGTATCACAGTTAATGACAAATGTGTTAAACATTTGTTATTTCCTTTATCATGGATCGGTATATTCTAACATCTTTAAAAGTAAAATTTTGGGCAAGTATGTTTATGTGCATTAGAAATAAAAGTTCTGTTAAAACATAATATTAGTTTTAGTCTATATTATTAGTTTTGTTAATTAAGACCGTGTGATATTTCTTTGTTGGTTTGATTTTCATCTGTTGTAAAAGCTTATTTCTTCAAATTGAAACAGATGGCGCGATAGAATCTTATAAAATGATGATGAAGATGGCGCAACCGTAAATTAACCTATACCATACGTATAAACGAAATATTTACTTAGAATGAGTTTTGATATGTCTTTCATTCTTTTTGGAAGTTAAGATTATTCAAAAATAATAAAAATGTTAGAACCAATTTTAGTTGAAGATATTACTTTCACAAAACTAGTGCCATCGTTAAAGGGAATATTAAAAGATTTAAATAAAAATTCTGTTCATCATGATTATATTGTTGCTTTGATAATTGTTTTATTAGCAGAGGCTGGTTTTTATCCGCTATCGAGAGATAGTGATCGTTTGCAATGGTAGGCATTATCACTCGATAATGTGTATATTTTTCTAATCATTAATTGTATTTCTTAAAATATATTTTTCATAGTTCAAACTTGAGGTCTCTTCATATACCAAAAAATTGGAAAATAGAAAGCACAGGAATGTATAACATATATTTTCAACTAGAAACTGTACCACATATAAAATGCAAATTATTTGTATTACCTTTAGGAGATGAATTAATTGTAAGTTTTTATCCTATATTGGAAGAAGGAGTTGCGAGAAAAGGTTACAGTATGATGGTACAAACTTTAAGATACGTTAATCCTTATTCAACTGATCTTTCTGGACGATATTTTAATCTCAAAGTATTATCTCACAGGTATAATAAATTTACAGTGATGTTAGTAATCTAAAAAGTGTTATGTTTATTTTTATGATACTGTTTGATAGTTTTAAAAATACAATATCTACACCAGCACGTTCAGATATATTAATCAAAGCTGGAGTGATGGGTCCTAGTCTTCAAGCTATTCCAATTGAATTAAAGTACAGAATTTTAAAATTGTTAGATGCCCGTACTTTGACAAAAATGGCACAGTGTTGTAAACAATTTTGTGAACTCTGTTCAGATTCACAATTGTGGAAATCTTTGATACAAAGAGATTTTCCAAATTTCATGAGAACAAGTCACAAAAAAATGACAAAAGATAAAGACTATTGTTATCAGGATTATATGGTAGCACGCCGATATTCTTCTTTTGCGTCGAAACACAAAAGTTTCGAAAATACAGATTTAGAAGATATATTTTTTTAAAATATACGAATACGTTGCTTTTTAATGTATTTTACAGCTTATAATGATATAAAAGAATTAACAATAATTAATTAAAATTGTAATGTCTTCAATTTTAATATAAAATAAACTAAACAGTTGTTTGTACAACTGTTTTTATGTATTTTTTCTCATTTTTTTTGTTTTTTGCTTGTTCAGTTCATATTCATTCAATCCTTCTTATTATCTCTTATACTAATTGTTGACAAATAAATCATGTAAAATTATCATTTAATAATATTTTTTTAATTAAAATATGCATATTTTAATTTTGTAATTTTGATTGACAAAATACACGTAGAAGCGTAGAATGAAAATGCAATAATTGAAATGAATCTAATCCAATGATATTGTAGTATGAATATTGCCTCAATTTCGTCAAGAATTTATATCGAATCTTTAGCTATGAATTTCAATACATACAATTTTTTTTTATTTATTTTTTATTAATTTGTTGCCTTTTGATTATTGTATTTTGTTTATACAAAATTAATCTTTAATGTATTTTAATATAATAATTAAAAATCAAACCTTCGATTATGTATAATATTTATACTTCTAACTTCACGCCTCGATTGTCTGTGAATGCATCGTTGCACAGATATGATTTTAATAAGTGGAATTTATGGACTGTCATTAAACTATTATTGCAACGAACTAATTTCCGGAACATTTGTAAATCGTATTCCGTACGGCGTAATTACACTCGACAGACTCTATTTGAATTTCCCATTAAATAATTTCATATCGATCAATCAAAATGGAATTAATTTGTTCGAGATGACGTTTCCAACGTCTATAAAATACTTTTCGCGTAAAAATGTAATCGTCTTAATAGTCTTTAATCGTCTCGTCAAATTATCCGTATCTCTTTTATTTTTCTCTTTTCTGGACCATTGTCATTGTTGATTGATCTATCAAAATTTGTAACGGTTGTAAATTTTTCAGGGGAGGAGGCGACGAAATCACAGACGAGCGACGAGAGCCCTCAACAAGAGGAAACCACGACTCAGAGCAATGGCGATACCGGTGAGTGATAATCAAGGCAACAACTTTGCTTCTCGCTCTGCTGCGTTTCACTTCTCGTGGATACGTTAGATGGAAGCACACTTGGTTGCTTTTATCGATCTCGTTTTTCGTATCAGAAACGAAAATGCACCGTGGCTTACCTCGGGTGAAAACGATCGCCTCGACTCGTGTTCCGAAATATTATCGCGTTCGCGATCAATTTAATTACACGACATGATCGTGAGCATTTGTTAACACAATCCTCGATACGCCAATCGATTTCTCAATACGCAACACGAATAAATAAATTGCCATGCGTATCGAAGTTTCATTGCGTCGTTCAATTGTCTGTTGTCGAAAACCAGACTGTTCCGCACTCCATAGTTGCAAAGTTGGGTAGATTGGTACTTCGATGCATGAAACATTGATTACCTCTCTTCCCTTCTTCCCGTTTCAATACACGCCATTTTTTCCCCGCAACATTTTTCAGACAGACGTCGAAGAGGATGGAAATATTTATCAATCGTTAGAATTGTTGTTTAAATATGAAATATACTTCGTTCGAATTATATTAAATAGAATTATTTAGATAGAATTATTTAGATAGATTATTTAGATAGAATTAAGAGAATTATCGAAAAAGAAACATTTTAACCATAATGGTGTATTGCTATCCATATACATACGCGAAATGTAATTGAATTCGTATGTTTTACATTTCTGCAAATCTGTTGATAATTGTTATTACATCTCTGATACACTGTCGAGAATACAATATTTTTGTACTTTCTGATTTATCAGCTGTAACGACTGTATCTTGATATTTTGACGTTTCACTCGATTTATATCCATCCATTTTGCAAAATCGAGAAA